TCTCTCTCTCTCTCTCTCTCTCTCTCTCTCTCTCTCTCTCTCTCTCTCTCTCTCTCTCTCTCTCTCCTTCTCTCTCCCTCCCGGCTGGAGAGGCCAAAAACGGTCCCATGTTTGACCTCCTCGGCCTCCAGAAGGTGGGTGGTGGCCAGTGGGTAGGGCAGCCTTGTGGCCCCCTCACGGGCCGGATTAATGGCTTCGTCAGGCAGTATATGGGCCCCCAGGCCGTAGTTTGAGGACCCCTGCTCAAAAGGAACTAACTGCCAGTCAGAACTCACCATTCCTGGCCAACTGGGAATAAGGAGCACTCATCAATTTCCCTCAGATTTCTGCCAAAAAAACCAAATCACTCCACCCTCAGCTTTGAAAAACAAATTGTAGAAGAGGCAGAGCCTGAGGGGGGAGTCAAGAGAAGAATCTGTCTGGAGTCCTTGTGTTGTCACAAGTGATCCAAGTCCAGTTCCCCCTTGAATTGCATTGACTGTTATCTAGTGTCAATTTAGTACTGGCTGTTGACTAGATTCGTGCATATAAGCATGAGTAGTAAATGTTCTTAACTAGAACTTAACATGTGGTTTTGATTCTTTGTGCATGACACAAACTTCAAGCAAGCATTTTGAAGCTTGTTTAAGATAACAAGTATCCCCTACTCTCTCCATTGTGGCCTTTTTTACCCAGTCCTGATTTCCTGTTTCCAGGCTTGGATATTGGGATCCAGAATGTGGTGATACAGGCAGTCCTCAACTTACAACCATTGGTTTAGTGACCATTCGAAGTTACCGTGACACTGAAAAAGTGACTTATGACCATTTTTCACACTTATGGCCATTGCAGCATCCCCATGGTCACATGATTAACATTTGGATACTTGGCAACTGGCGTGTATTTATTATCATTGCTGGGTCCTGGGTTCATGTGATCATCATTGCAACCTTCTGACAAGCGAAGTCAAGGGGGGGGGGTCAAATTTACTTAATACCCGTTACTCACTTAAAAACTGCAGTGATTCATTTAACAACTCTGGCAAGAAAGATAATCATATGGGGCAAAATTCACTTTACAATAGCCTTGCATAGCAAGATAAATTTTGGACTCAGTTGTGGTTGTAAGACAAGGACTATCTGTAGTCTGGCATTCACTCTAATGACTACCTGGACTACACAGTGACAACACAACTTTTTCATGGACACTTACTACTTATAGAATAGAATAGAATAGAATAACAGAGTTGGAAGGGACCTTGGAGGTCTTCTAGTCCAACCTCCTGCTTAGGAAGGAAACCCTACACCACTTCAGACAAATGGATGTCCAACATTTTCTTAAAAACTTCCAGTGTTGGAGCATTCACAACTTCTGGAGGCAAGTTGTTCCACTGATTAATTGTTCTAACTATTAGGAAATTTCTCCTTAGTTCTAAGTTGCTTCTCTCCTTGATTAGTTTCCACCCATTGTGTCTTGTTCTGCCCTCAGGTGCTTTCGAGAATAGTTTGATTCCCTCTTTGTGGCAGCCCCTGAGATATTGGAACACTGTTATCATGCCTTCCTTTCATTAAACTAGATATACCCAGTTCCTGCAGCCATTCTTCATATGTTTTAGCATCCAGTTCCCTAATCCTCTTGGTTGCTCCTCTCTGCATTCTTTCTAGAAATGGTTTTATTTATTTTAAACACACCTTGTTAATTAAGCAAGACAGAGCTGGGACAAAGTGTGATACCCATGCCAAGTGAGTCAGCTGATCAGTAAGGGGCATTACAGTTTCACCTCAGCTGAGAGAGATCTGACTCATGTTATGACCTCATGCTCCCTAGTATATACTTACGCAAACAGGTATCAATCTAGCTTAGTTTCTATCTAGAAGAACCATGCTATGCTAGGAAGACTCCATGTTTCTACAAATTTTGACTTATGTAAAGAGGAGAAAAGCTTAGCAGACTTACCCAACTGAAAATAAGAGGAAATAGATCCAAAGAAAGGAAATATATTGGCAAGTAGTATTTCTTGAAAGAGCATAAAGCAACTCTTCCACCAGAGGTGGGTTCCTACCAATTCACACCTATTCGGTAGAACCGGTTCATCAAATCTACCGAACCGGTTAGAAGAGGTCCCACCAGTCGACCCGGAAAGCAGGCCACACCTATAGAAGAGGTTCCAAAAAATTTTGAAACCCACCACTGGTCCTTGGTTATGATTATTCTTCACTATCATGCTCATATTTATAAAACTCAGTGCCTCTGTGCCTCTGTGAAAGGTAAGGATGACTACTGCGTTTTTAGTGCAATCAGAACATTGCGTGTGTTGAAGTTGTTTTAATGCAAACCAAAGATGCCTTTAAAAAAACAAGTTTACATCATATTCTTATGCATGCCAGTGCTGTGTGTGAGGTAATTTAAGGTGGTTCTGACAAGTGTCGTCGGCATCTTCATATCCCGTCACATGGGCGGCAAGCTACTCCCATCCGGTCACATGGGCAGCAAGCCACTCCCACAAAGGAGGCCACACCCGCAGAGTAGGTTCGAACAATTTTTGAAACCAACCACTGTCTTCCACCTACGGTTAAGTAATTGTTATTTGATATCCTACTGAAGAGTAATCTCTATTGTTAAGAGATTACCAGGAATTAAATGTAATCTATAGTAAATACGCATTTTTGTATATTGTGTACTTTATAGTTTTCACAAAACCCTCATTTTCTTTCCATTTATTTCTGATCAAAAACACTTAAAGAGATTTCTTCTGATCTATACTATATCTCATGATTTAAAAATTAGATCTACTCTGCACTACCTTATTAACTATGATTCCTAATTTAATTTGCAAACAGAGGTCCTCTAATAGTGAATGATAAAGGATCAGAGAAAAGTTTGAATTGTAAGGAATGTGACTAGATCACAAAGCAATTACTGGCAGCTGGATCACAGAACTATTGAACAGACTGATTTTTTTCAAAGTAGAGCTCATCTGATTCCCAAACTCAAATTCAACAATGAATTCAGCAATTGAACAAAATTCAAGAGGAATGTGGAGATCCAAAGAGGAAATTCCATGTTATTGCTATTGACCTGAAAGATGGGAACAGAGGTTGCATTTGCTGCACTCTGAATCAAAAGAAGCATGAGATCATTGAAAAGACATGCTAGTGTGCAAGAAAAATTTAGGCTTTTCAAACAATTTAGCCTAATACTGGAAATATATACTCTGACACAATCCTAGACAGTGGAGTACCACCTGGGTCTGTGAAATCTGGAAATGTCACTGGAAGGGTGAACCAGTTTAACCAGTAACGTTTATTTCGTTAATAAACTGCAAAACCAATAGAGGGCTCTTAAACAAAAAAAATTGCAATAATTACTTATTCTTCTTCCTCTTACAAACACTACCCAGGTAATTTAACATGTTGTTAAAGTAGTTTCAATTCAAGAGGCACTCATCCAACTACTCTTCAGCCAGTTAGATGATATAGTACGGAACAAAGTAAATCAATACATGTTTACCCAAGAAAAAAAATGAAATATGAGATTCAAGAAAGCATGTAAACTTTTTACAAGTGCCTTAAGCATGTAAGTTGGGAGCAAATCTCAATCCTTACTAGCACTGATGGTTACCTAGTTTGAGTAATAAAGCATCTGCAAGAAAACAACCAAGCTCAGAGACTACCTAGAATTCATTTCAACCCTGAGCTACAAATATTCTCCTTTTATTAGAACTGAGAATCATAGAATAATGAAAAAAACAGGTTTCTATAAATGTTCAATGAACAAGACGACAGCACGGAACGGAAAGCATAACATGTTTACAATACATGTTTAACGAGAGGTTCATTTTGAGAAACAGAATGTGTACTACAGTTGGTTTTTATCATTTTTATTTATTGTATTGCTGCATTTATCATTTTAACTTGCTGTATGCCTAGCGCCGCGTAACAGAATGAGCTCCCGTTACTTGTCCCAGCTTCTGCCAACCTAGCAGTTCAAAAGCATGTAAAAATGCAAGTAGAAAAATAGGGACCACCTATGGTGGGAAGTGTTCCATGCACCTTTGGTGTTTAGTCATGCCAGCCACATGACCACAGAGACGTCTTCAGACAGCTGGCTCTTCGGCTTTGAAACTGAGATGAGCATTGCCCCCTAGAGTCGGGAACTATATATATATATATATATATATATATATATATATATATATATATATATATATATATATATATATATATATATATATATATATATATATATATATATATATATATATATATATATTGCCAAAAGTATTCGCTCACAACTGATTCTGATTATGTGGATGGGTGAGCAAATACTTTTGGCAATATAGTGTATATGCGAGGGGAACCTTCACCTTTACACAGTTATTATATACACAGTTAATATTATCTGTATTAGATGGTTAATTAATCAAAAATGCACAATAATTTCATTACAATTGTGCAAAATGCATTTAAATAGCTGTAAGTGGCAACTATATTGGGAAGTATGGCATTACACAGAGGAAAAAGAAAGTGGAAGTAATGATACTTGAACTGTATTTCTCATCACCCAAGAGCTTAGGAGTTTACAATCACAATAAGAAGTCTTATCAACAATAGATTTTATTCATAATTATTTGTTTACTTGTTTATTTCAATGACATCAGCCATGTGCTAAGTGGACTAGTCCACGAATTGTTTCCCCCAAAATTTATCTATATTCAGCTCAAGGAAAATAAAATAGGAGAGAGAAAAAAGAGTATTAAATCCAAATGAAGTAATAATATATTTTATGATGTAGTGTAAACATCAAAGGATCTAAATGACTAATTGTTCCACATTTTACATTTGCCTCTCAATTTATATATCTCTGAAATTTATGTGGCTGTCCAACTTGAAAGATTGTGACTCTGGGCAAGAAAACAAAAGAAATCAGAAAATAATAAAAATAAATAATAATAAGCAACCAGTTATCACATTTCTGTTACATCCTCTAGGTGCGAACCCCAATGAACCTGCCCCAATGCCTGTGAGACAACCATAATTTTGCCCCTTTCTAAAGGCAAACCATGTATCAGGGAAGTGGGGGGGGAGATAATTTCAGAGGGATAAAGGAAAAGCCTGACCTCCTGGGTCCTGCCAGATGACCTTGCTCCAGGGAAGTGACCCCCAAACTTGCCCATCCATGTGGGACAGGCAGATGCCACCAAAGAGAGGTGGTCCCACAAATGACCTAGTCTTATTCCATGTATAGACTTTTACAGATGACAATCAGCACTTTGAATTGTACCTGGAAGCTTACTAAGATCATTAAGCACTGGTCCTACACAGATGGACAAAGATGCATCCACCTGCTGCATTCTGTACCAACTGAAGCATCCAGATGCTTTTCAAAGGCAACTTCATGTAGAAGACATTGTAGTTATCCAAATGATGGATTACTAATGAGTTACAGCAAGTAGAAACTCCCCATTCAGGAATGGGAGCAACTGGCATTGAGCAAAGGCCCTTGTTGCCCACTGCTGCGACCTGCTACTCAAGGTACATTCACCAAAAGACATACTTTCCATTTCAAAGCTGAAGAGCCAGCGCTGTCCGAAGAGTCATGTGGACGGCATGACTAAAGACCAAAGACCAAAGGTGCATGGAACATTGTTACCTTCCCACCAAAGGTGGTCCCTATTTTTCTATTTGCATTTTTACATGCTTTCAAACTGCTAGATTGGCAGAAGCTGGGACAAGTAACAGGAGCTCACTTCATTACGCGGTACTAGAGATTTAGATAGATAGATAGATAGATAGATAGATAGATAGATAGATAGATAGATAGATAGATAGATAGATAGATAGATAGATAGAAGATAGAGATAGATGATAGATAATGTATGTATTTATGTATTATATGTGTGTATATACACACACGCATATATACATACACACACACATACATAAATGCACATACATACACATACTATATTTTTATTATTTATCATAACATAAATTACAAATTAACAATTTATTCTTTTATTATTTTAACATTATTTTGAAAGCATGCCTAATTTGATTTATTTTTTTAAAACAATGACCCCTCTTTTCAAATTAGTCGTCTGAAAGACACACTCACCGCCTTAGATTTTATTTTACAAAACATAAAGGCTGTAGGTCTTTTTAAATAAACACATTTTTTTAAAAAAAAAATGAGTAGCCCCAAGCAGGACATTGATGCTCCTCATTGCTCCCTGAGAGTAAAATCTGATTGATAACTTGTCTGGAGCACCTGTTCCTGTATTTGACCATAAAGAAAAATAACTACAGTGTTCATGCTTATGTTTATACTTATACCTGTTATCTTTTACGTTTTTGACAAACTAAGCAAGCAAGCAACTAACAAACAAACAAACAAACAAACAAATGTTTAAGTCAATTAAATGACAGTGCACCAGCATTTCAATTCAGAACCGCTCTTCATTAACCAGCACAGTGCAAATATAACCGGTGTGCGTGTCTAAAAAGATGAAACTAAAAGTGCTTAAAACATACGAATAGAAAATTCAAAAACAAAGCAGTGGAAGAAACCAAAAAGAATTCCCTTTGGGGAAAAGAACGGGGGCTCCTGACAAGGGCCGCCACCGTCCCGAGAAAGCCTCCCCGCGAAGTGCCCCAAAGGAGCCGAGCTGCACCCTTGCTTCAGCCTCCCAATTTGAACGGCCGTCTCTCTAACGGCAGGGACGTGGTGGCGCTTTCCAACCCCCGACCGGGCGCCTCCGACCGGGATCTCCAGCGGAGACCGAGCCGTGGCCGGCCTCCCCCTCCGCACTGCGCGGAAACTCTCCCGACTCCCGGGGGCCACCGCTTCTCCGCACTTACCCAGAAGACGGTGGAGTAAATGACGAGCGTGAACTTCAGGCAGAGGTAGGGGAAGTGCGAGCAGTAGCGAACCTGTTCCGAGTCTCCCTGCGCCGCCATCGCTTCCGCCCGCCCGCCACCTGCGGCTCTCCGTGCCAGGCAGCCCAGAGGCGGCGACGCTGGCGGGAGGCTCCTGGAAGACGCCCCCCTGCGCCAGTCCGGCCCGCGTGGCCGAGCGCGGCGGAGCAGCTGCCATGGAGGAGGTGGCCGGGCGCGCCCTGCTTGGGCTGGAAAGCTGGGCTGGCGTCTTGCGGCGTCGGGAAACGAGGCCCTCAGCGCAGTGGTTGACTATTGACTATTTAAGCAGACTAAGCAGGTTCTTAGGGCACCACCGGCCCCAAAGGGGGCACAAAGTTGAAAAATAAAAATGTTAAAAAGCAATGAAGTACAGTATGTTCTGTGGGAAGTGAAAATCCACCCCTCTCCTGCACGTGCCTACCGTCCCTGTCCTACTGTCCCCACTTATTCATACCCATTTCATTCATAGTCATGTTTATTCTTATGCCTATTATCTTGTAAGTGATTGACAAATAAATAAATTAATTAAAATAAATACATTAAAATGAAATTCCGTTGCCTACAGCTCTCAAAGGGTCACCACCTCCAATATACACTACATTCCACCACCACCTGCAAAGACCTCATCTTCATTTCAATCCAACCAAGACAAAACAGAAAGGGCAGGGATCTAATTCTGCACAAGCTGTGGGAATCAACCTCCCAAGGATCCTGTTCACTTCCTCAGGATGAAGCAGATCAAACTCTGCCCAAGGTAATCAAACGCAGCCAGGATTAGTGACTCTATTATTATTGTTGTTGTTGTTGTACAATTGTACCACAGCGGCCAGTTGTTTCGCCGGATTTGGCATTGGTTACTAGTCGGGCCCC